TTTTGAACACCAATCTCACAATCCACTCGTGTGTTTTCACTTTTAGTCAATCACAAAGCTTCTATACCTCATATATAACTCATCCCCATCCCTATTTCAGCACTATAACTTCATATTCATCATCCTCCATTTCCAAATATTCAAACCTGCAACTTGACTTCTCCAGCACGATTCAGGCACTTTCAGCATAAAGTAAGAGTTGCATTAGCTTCCTAGGAGTCCAGTGAAGCTATCCAGATCATCACCACACCTCTGGGAGTGCTCAAAATCCATACACGATTTCCAGTTTTGAGGTAAGTTTTCTCAACTTTGAACTTCTCATACAAGCATCATTAATGGTTACTTCGAGAATGATAAATGTAGACATCATAGCCCTGAAGCTAACCATGCCTTTAGTTTTCATTTATGTTGCCTGAGTGATGCGAATTTTAAAGTTGAACTTTCTGAAAAAATCAGGTTTTATTTGGTACCAAACAAAATTCATGTTCATCCTTGATTTATAACTTTAGTTATTTACATGGTTGAATTCGTGTTGAAAAATGGAGCAAGTTTCATGTTTAGCTTTTGAAAATGGTTAAGAAATGAGCAAGTTCAGAAATTTGAAAATGTTGACAATGGCTTCTGGCGTGAGGTTAGGGATGAAGTGCCATCAGAAAAGGGTTTATTTTAAATTTATTGCAACTTGTTTTAATATCGAATGAAACAGCCACCCTAGTGGTAGAGGAAGCACGCGTAAGTCATTGATCAATAAGGACCTGGGTTCGAGCCCCAGTGGTATCCTTTTATTTCTTTCATATTTGTTTCTATGATATTGTGTGCAGGAAAGCCCAAGACATGTGTGCTACACCCCTCATCCATACCATCCACCTACCAGACAATTAAATCAAACGCTCATAATGGAAAGACTATGATGCATCATCACAAGCCAGCCACATAAAATCACAAACAAGGCGCCTGGGCCTCCTGACATGGGCCTTTTATTTTTTATTTTTACTTCTTCATACTCCTATTTTACTAACAACATATGGCCATTTTCTTATTTTTGTTTCAAACAAAAAAAAACTATTTTGGGCCTTTTGCTACATTTAACATCCTATTTACTTTTCAAACACCCCATCCCATTTTCTTTTTATTTTTTCTTTACATTTTTTATATTTCATTTATTTATTTATTTATTTTTATTTAACCCTAAAATATAAAAATATATTTTCTTAAATAATTAAATTAAACATACTTTAATGTAAATATTTTATTTTATTTTATTAAATTAATTTTATTATTTCTTTTACAAATTGATATTAATATTAAAATTCAAATTATTTTCTAAACAATTTACTTAGACTTAGGTTTATTTTCTTCTTAATGTCAATTAACTTAGATTTTAGGTTTTGTTAAATAATTAATTAACTTTTCTTGCAATTAAATTTAATTAGCTTAATTAGGTTAATTACTAAAACCTTTTCTATAAAAAAAACAATTTCTTTTCTTCTCATTCATTTTGTACATTCTACTATTATTCATATTCAATGGTTTGTAATAGATAATTAGGGCTTTATTGCTTTCTTCCCCTGATTTACAAAATTGTATCTCCCATTCCTAAAGCTTTGTAATAGCGTAGGACATTTAAATTCCGCAATTTATCGTTTTCCTTATTATTGTTAGTAACTAGGGTTTGTATGACAAGATTTAAAATCAAACATTAGAAAACCCTAATCCAAGACAATATACATTAAAACAAAATACTTTGCACACATGCACCTCTAAGGTAATCCACACTTGTTGCCTTGGACTAAAACAATCATGTCCCTCGAACGTGAGATGTTTTAGCAAATACCCTCGATTAAAAGACCGTAGTCCCTCAATAACCCTTCAATGTTGCCTTCGATAAATGATCTTAGACCCTTATGACAATTACTAAAACATCTTACAAGTTGCCTTCTATGACTGTACGATGATCCACGCCTGTCCCTCACATCCAATGATATGGCTCCTTACCAGCCAATGGTAAAGTAGCACTATCTAAAGGAAGAGGAAAAGAATAAAAGACTTTTTTATGTCGGTAGATTGCTCGTAATTCCTTGCTCACAAACAAAACCATTTCCACACTTCACGCTTTCAAAACACTTTTCAAAATAACATTTTGTATACATTCTCAACGATACGAGAATCATTACAAAATAGCCTTACATTGGCATCTCAAAACATCTTTCCAAAACACTCCCTTTCAACAAATATGTTCAAAACCAATACTTTGTATACATTCTTAACAATACGAGAATCATTGCAAAGTTTGTCGTACAAAAGCATTTTCTAAATATTTTTTTAAACTTACACAAACACAAAGCATTTTCAAAGTGGTTAAGATATTAAGAGCCTGTAGATAACTACGGATGAAAAGGGTGCTAACGCCTTCCATTTTCATAACCTACCTCCCGAACTCAAGAAAAATTTTCAAAAGGTCTTTCCTGTTCTTTTCACCCTTTCCTTTATTGGAAAAAAGAAAAGTCGGTGGCAACTCTTGCTATCCGTAACATTTGCGTTAAAACACAAAAACACCAAGTCAGTTCTCCCACTGTATTATACAGTCGGTCTCTCAATTTGGGTTAGAAATGACTTAGATAGCGAGTGATACGTAGTGACATTGATGACTATTGTTAGGTTGAGTGTAATTGGTCGATAGATTTAAGTCTGTGATGAATAGATTATATGTAGGCTTGATAAGTTCTTCCTAAGTTTTTTTTTGTTTACATTATTTTCTGTTGATAACATTTTATTTACAAACCAATTCAATACCAAACTCATTAACGAGAGAATTTTCAAATGGAAATTCAATAACCAATCTCTGTGGACACGATATAATATAACCTAAATATCACCCGATAAAATTAATACTTTACTTTTTGCTTGCCTCTATACCGCAACAACAGTCCCCATCAATTTTATTTATCCTAGGAGGGGAAAGGAAACATTGAGTAAACCTGATGGAAGGAAAGGAGCATGGTCATTGCGACCAATAGAAAAAGGGTAAGGAAGTCGGTTATGCAAGGGGAAGGTGTTAACACCCCTCGCGTCCGTGGTACTCCACATGATTCACTTAAATTTGTTCTAATCTAAGGGTGTGTATAATATATGTAAAAAGCTTAATGCTAAAAAGGGAATGCATGGATGCAAGGTATTATGTACAAAAAGAAGTTTTTATTAGTTGTGCCTGCCTCGGTTGCGAACCTTCGTGCCTACGTACCACCGATCGTGCAATGAGGATCAAGGCACTCATAGTTCACCTCAAATTTTTTGGTGAGTTGTATGTTTTATATGAACAATGCTAGCAAAGAATGTCCTTATACGAAAAGGTTTTCAAAAGAAAAAGGTCCGAAGACAAAAAGGTTTGCATTGGTTGATGTATTTTACCTTGAAAAAGGGTTTTGCATTTTTAGAGTGTTTTTTGAATTTTCCAAAGAAAAGAGTTTTTGTTTTAGTCAGGCAAAAAGGGGAAGTAAAAAATATTAGGGAGACTAATCTATTGCTATCCCTATTGTTATCATGCAATGGTGGCCATAGAGTTTGGATTGAGAAAGGGAGAATCTACCCAGTGTTGGCATGCATGAATTCAAGCCTAATGTATAATTAGTTCATACTTGAAAGAGAGTGAACTAACAATCCTAAGGGGAGCATTTGATCAAGCAATAGAAATCAAGCACACAAAGCTTGAGGAGTATCCACTCACTCAAGTAGCACACACCTAACTGAGGCATCCTGTCACCAAGGTAGGAAAGGGATAGGGATAACACCTAACCACGATATCATATCGTCGAGGTAGGATAAGGGAAGATGTGCACCTAACCATGATATCATGTCATCAAGGTAGGATAAAGGGAATCTAAACCAAGATATCGAGTCAGCGAAGCAAGAAAAACTGTAGGGAATCAGTAGCTCTTAACCGTGATATCATGTCATCAGGGCAAGAAGAATAATAGTTGTCGACCCTAACCAAGATATCATGTCATCTAGGCAAGATAAGAAGAAAAGTGAATCGTCATAGGTGATTAAACACCTAACCAAGATATTGTGTCATCTAGGTAGGTGATAGAAGGAAATAATGAGATCACATCGAAGCATCAAAGTTTACTAACACACGTGAATGACAAAGTGTGGGGGATTGGTTACAGATCCCTGTATTCCACTTGACGGTCTCGATAATAAGAGTAGTACTATTTATAGCATTGACATTGGATGTGAGCTACAAACGACCTGGGGACTAGAAATGGCGAGGTCGATTGTGGACCCTCCGCTTGCCTTGCCTCCTTTTGAGGACTTATTAATGGGGTAATGGGAATGTGTTACCTTCTTTGAGGTCTTTGGGCACAAAGATAAACACACAAAATCACCTTTGTTGAGGACTCTCAAACAAAAAAGCACAAACATAAGTAGGAATTTCCTTAAACAGGTCTTTAAATAAACCAGAGTTGCCTTGAAGGGGCTCCCATATCATGCATCTCTACCCTACTTCTCATGGAAAGGAAAGTGATAAATGATGCGAGAACAAGGAATAAAATAAAGTCATGACGATACCTAACCGAGAAGGTCCGTTGCATCTTTAAAGCCACACAAGCGATAGGAAAACTCTACAGAATACTTGCAGAAGCTTCAGCCTATCAGTTAAAAATTATCCGCACCAATCATAAAAAGCCAATAAAATGGAGGGATCCATAAGGTATAAACAACAGGTAGTAGGTATGCTACAAGAATAGAAATCCGGTGTTAAACCCAATCCCAAAATAGTCCAATAAGCAATTTTTTTTGTTGGAATCATTTTAAGGCTTATGGGCCCAAAAGGTTAATGGTTCGGTCCATATTCACCCAAATTCAGTCCAATACGTTCATTATTTTTTTCTTTTATTTACCATCAAAATAATAAAATGAAAATATAAAAAAATTTAAAATAGTAATGTATTATAAAGAAAAAGGGTTAAAAGGGACGCTTCAGCTTCTTTTGCAAACGCATGAACATTCTTATTCATCTATCTCACGGTGGAGTCAAAACAAACTTTCTGATCTACTCAGTTCATCGTCCGATCGATGCACTCTCCTCTTGGCGTGTCCGTCTCATTACACAACAACTTCATCGATTCAACTCTTGCACATTCTTGATTGCTTCAGCTCATCATCGATTCAGTCGCTATTCAGAGCGATTTTCCCTCACGGTTGTCGTCTTCGACGAACTCAACACAGTGTCTCCACCATTTGCCTTGCAATTTCCATCGACTCTCAAACTTCATCATGTTTCTCTTCTCATCTTCATGCGACTAAAACCTCGCATATTCTTTTTTACGTCAAACTCAAATGGTGGAAAAGCTTCAATGAAACATGATTCCATTGCATCTTCAAGGTTCTTACGCAAGCTTCAGCAGAACAAGGTTACAAGAGATCGAAGCCTTACCTACGGGAGAATGTACGACATGTCTTCGATGATAACGAACAAAGATAGAAAACCAGATAATTCTTGCTCTAGGTACGATTACAATGAGATTCACTCTTCTTCTTTGTTAATTTCTTTGTGTTCTCATTTCTGAACTGGTTGTTTTCATTGTTGTAGAGTTTCATGAAGGATGATTGAAGCTCTATGTTGATGATTGATGATGCACGACGATATGATGATGACGATGATGGTTGAAATTCGGTTGCAGAAAGATGAGAGAAACCGTTACAGAGGAGTTGCAGGCTTGAATGTATGGTGATGGAGATTGAGAGTGAGAAGTGGCTGATGTGAAGAGAATGTTGAAAGCTTGTGCAATGGAGAGGTGAAAATAGAGGATTTCTGGTGTTGAGAAGATCATGAACGTGTTGCAGAAGGTGAGGGATGACAAAAGAAGTAGAGAGAGTTGATATGGGTTTTTTGTGTGATTTGTGGTGATTCTTATAATAATTGAAGAATTATATATTCAAGGTATGAACTATGTTATGTAGTTCTGTTAGATGGTTAGAAAATTAGTTGAAAGTTAGTTACTAATTGTTTAAAGGTTTGTAAGAGAATTTTTGTTTAGAAGTTAATTGTTGTTAACTGTTAGTTAAAAACCCTTAGCAAGTTAGATGCTAGTTGTAGTTTGTTATATACTGTGAAATTCTGTTATGAATATTAGCCGAAGTTGTTAGAATGAGCTGGCCTTTGGTTCAATTTGAGTAAAACTGATTAACTGGCTTAATTCTAAAAGGAACAGTTTGTCGGTTCATTGGCTTATTCCTCCAATGATTTTTCTTCTGACTTTTCTGATTTCTCAAACGAGTTAGTATGCAGTTTTTTCTGATGTTTCCTAATTTAATCTTCCACCCTCTTCCATCCTCTTTTATATTTTCTGTTATGAGTTTTTGCTTCTGATTTTGAGTAGGGGCATTAGTTTAATTTGCTTGAGTGCAAGGATGATATTTTGTGATGTTGTCGGGCATAACAGGTTTCAGCTATGAAATGATAGCATGAGGGCAATGGTATGTTCCAACAGCAACCCTAGTACCGATCTGAGTTAGGCTTGCAGTTAGCGCTGATTTTTTTATGATTCAAACTGCGGATCTACGAGTGTTAATGATTGTTTTCTAGACTTAACTTGCATTGCAGGGCTGGCTTTAATGGTTGAACTGATCATTGTTTATTTTGAAACAAGCTGGGAGTTTTGAAGTTTTATTATGGCACATGTACAAATTGAGATTGGCTTTCAAACACAGGGAATGTTGTAAGATGTGGTTGGAAGCATACTATGGGCATGGGGATTAGGATAGATATATTTTGTTTGTTATTTTTATGTGAAATGGTCTTGTAAACTCACAAGTGCAGTTGTAATGGATATGTGATGTACCCTTGTAATGGTCATGGATTTTGAGACCTCGTAACGGAAATAGTTTTGTATCTCTTGAAGTCTTGATGAACATGCCATTAAGAATGACTTTTTGTGAATTTAAATAAGATGCTCTTCAAAACATCTTTCTAGGTTTTCAATCTCTCTTTTAATTGAAATGGTGTCTGATGGAATGATGATATGACAAAGTGTTAGGTCATGATGCCTTAATCTTGTGAGAGAAACATTTTTCTTGTGAACTTAGCAATTTGTAACTTGTAACTTACATTCTAAGAAACTCTTATGAATAAGGTTTCCAATCTTGCTTCAATTAAACTCTTGAAAACAAACCAATGTTTAAATTTCTTAATTCAATTTGATTATCCTCACAACATTTCACTTTAAGACTTAATGAGTGAATTCCAACCAACTTTCATATTCAATGAATAAGTCTTGAACTTATGATATGACATAGGATTCAATCCAATGAAGCATATTCATGCATGAACTTAGTCAAGAAAATTACTTTTCCATATTGCCTTTTCCAAAAATCAAAGCATTTATTCATATGCTTCTAACTCACTTAATTCTCTCTCACATCATATCTTGTATTGTGCTTCGCGCTTTTGTAATTCAAACCACAAACATGTCCACTTGAAAATGAAAGGCTAAAGTCCTCAAAAAATTCCCTTGAAGAAGATAATTTTTGACGCACAGAAGAAGATATCTTGGCACACAACATAATGCTCTATGAGAAAATCCTTTGATGAAAAACAAAATCCTAATCTCATGATCTTAGATTAACGCACATGCTCACACATAAGGAATGAAACCCTGATCTACTGAGAAATGCAGAGAAATAACCTCTGATCCCAAACCTTGATGGATTTCAGAAAAGAATAACCTCGTAGTTGGATGAAGGAGAAACTCATGATAACCATACTTAAAATCTTGATTCCTCGGAGTTTAATGCACATACAAACAACCAGGTGAATCACCCTCATTTGATATATACATCTCAAAATACTTTGAAAACCCTAGCTTCAGAGCCACTGATTCTATTGATCCCATGTGCTTTATTCAATGAAATGTATGCTATGTTAGTATAGATAACCTAATGAAAATATGTGAATGCAATTCTAAGCTAGATAATAATAAATTAGGAGGACAAATTTTGGGGTGCAACAGTTCGGAGTTGGTAGCGAAAACATAAAAGAAAGAGACTGCCCAAAGTAGGCTTTAACAAAGATATCAAACACACATGTTCGGAGTTAGTAGCAAGCATATACAAGAAAGAGATCAGAAGAGGACTCTAGCAAAGATATCAAACATACATGTACAGAGTTAGTACCGAACATATACAAGAAAGAGACCGGAAGATCACTCTAACAAAGATATCAAACATACATGTCCGGAGTTGGTAGCAGACATATACAAGAAAGAGACTGGCCGAAGTAGGCTCTAACAAAGATATCAAGAATACATGTCCAGAGTTGGAAGCAGACATATACAAGAAAGAGACTGACCGAAGTAGCCTCTAACAAAGATATCAAGAATATATATTCTGAGTTGGTAGCAAACATATACAAGAAAGAGACCGACCAAAGCAGACTCTAACAAAGATATCAAACATACATTTTCGGAGTTGGTAGCAAACATATACAAGAAAGATATCGGGTATACATGTTCAGAGTTAGTAGCGAACATATATAAAAGAGACATCATGTATACGCCAGGTAGAATTAGACATATACAAACAAGGAAGAGACCAATTGAAGAAGGCTCTAACAAGGAATACTAACCGAAGATAGACTCTTGGGGAAAGAACATTGATCAAAGGCGAACTTACTGGGGATACAGATAGATATCGACTTCAATAGTATGCTAAGTGAAAACAAACTTACACTGAAGAAAAAGACCAACCGAGGAGGGTACTCTAACAAGGGTTGCCAATGATTCTCTGGGGAATAAGAAACACCACAAGACCTTATTGGGGGATAGAAATAACAACAAACTCCATCGGGCGAGCAGGGTGGGATAACCCTACGGATAGACTATGAGGGTTATTTATCTCTAAATAGAACAAACCTTTTACTTCGTGTAAGCAACAAAATTGTCTTATATTTCAATGCATGTTTGAATATATTCTTTTTTAGCGTAATGCTTCATTTCAATGGAAATGTTATGCATTTGAGTATATGCAATGTAACGATTCATGTTTAAATGATTCACCGGGGAATAACAATATAAATAATGAACTACCGAGAAAACCAGGAACATCTGAGAAATCATCCTTGGGAAATTAGACTTTAATGATGAATAACAATATGAATCAATGACCACTGGGGATAAACTGCGATGCGAGATTGCAACTCAAAACATGCCAACTCCGAGGAGGGATGCCACTGAAAAGTGGACTTTATGGAGGATACTGAAAAAATAAATTGCAGTCCAACAAAAGTAATCATTTTGACTTCAAACAACTCTTAACTTCTTGGGGAAGGATCCATTATCTTCATGTTGAAAATAAGGAACACTACGTTGAGGGAATAGTGACATTCATGCGTAGAGCTCCGGATGAGTGAGACTTCCACCGGGGATGACGATACTTCTTGCATGAAATAAAATCGACGAAGAACTCTGCCGGGGAATGAATCTTCAATTGGAGAGGAGAACTTCTCGATCAGAAACTCCTTTAAACAGACCTTCCGCTGAGGTAGAAATCTTAACTTGGGGAGAAAAGCCTTTGAAAAAGAAAAAAATCTCGAGGCTCAAATTATACCGGGGATGATACAACACCTTCCATCACTAGGGAAAAAGAGAATTCTTAAGAGAACTCTCGCAAGTGCGAGCTGTACTGGGGAAACGACCCTCAGAAGGCCTTCAACCAATCATAACTTTCCTGGGGATACAAAGATGACTCCTTGAACAATATCAATAGGAAGAAAGCATCCAGTGTAGACTCCATTGAAGAAAAGCAGACCCATTCATACCTCGATGGGGCACAAATCCTTACTTGGGGAGAAAAGGAATCTCAAACCAGAAACGCTCAAAGTTCAACTCCACTAAAGATAATATAACCTCTTCTGTCAATAGGGGATAAAATATTTATTAATACTCACGTTAGTATACACAACACCGGGAATGCAAAACTTATAAGACATCAATCATCGCATAATCTCACTGAGGAGAAACCCGCTCCACTAGGGAAAAGAAAACGGCTTCGTGGGAATAAGACAATGGTATCTTGCCTGTATTCTTACAAGAATCTTTAAGAAATACAAACCACCCTGGGGGATATAAATTCCAACCATACTGGGGAAATAGATGCGTACCACACCGGGGAGATGGGTGAAAACTTCACGGGGAAGTCAAGTGCCAATTTCACTGGGGAAGCAGATGCAAACTTCATTGGGGATATAAACAATGGTACCAAACCTCACCGGGGAAATAAACAGTGGTACCAAACCTCACTAGGGATATGGATACCAACTTCATTGGGGAGACGGTGAACCACCCTTGGGGATAAACAACTTTATCAAACCCAAAAAGATAGACTCCTCTAGAGGGAAGATATCTGAAGTGAAACTTCTTAACAAACAAGCCTTTGCTTAGCAATAATGCAGACTACATTGGGGAAAAGAATTTGTCTGAAGAAACATTATTTCCGTAAAGGACTTTGTGGGAGTAACAACCTCAAATGCTCTATGCTTTCTTGCTCGTACCCTTCTTGTTTCAAACGAACACGAGGTACCTACAAAATGAAATCACCACAATAT